CTAGAAAGCATTGATCTGATGTTGAAAAGCAGAAAGCTGGTTCCCCACTCCTTAAAGAATGAATAATATGGGTTATTCCCCTCATTGCAGGGTGTATTGCACATTATATTCAAACCCCTCTTGCCAGGTTGCTTTGCTCCTATTCCCCATGAATCTTCTTCATGGTGAATACTTCTGTGTCACTGGTAGCTACAAGATTTTCATATCTGCAGCAATGATATAACCTCTTAGAAATTGATCTGTTTCTTCTCTGTGGGCTTTAACCTGTACTTTACACTTGCGTCTTTTGTTCTTGGAGAAGAAACTGGTCTTTGCATCTAGCCTACTGAGTGCCTAATGAGAAATAACACCTCTCATCATACCTCCCTGTGGCCAAAAATGTCCGTCTTAAAAGAGGTTTGGATATGGCAGTGTTTATGAAGCTGGTCTTCCCTGAAGCTGAAGTGGGATACTGTTGTCTTACATTGTGAAACAGATGGTGCATTTTCCCTGTGACTAGTGAGCTATGCAGTGCCTAATCTGCAAAGAGTGAGAGGAAATCCTTGACATCTCTCTGCTACTTTCTCTTCCCCCAGGTGTTCCAGCTGTGCAGCACACCACTGCAGACTGTAATGGTCAAGAGCATGGTGGTCGGACAGTGTTTGACAGTGTCCAGCAAAAGTGGTCCTGACCTATTTCAGGACTTTGGCAATTTGACTTATCACTCATAATTAGTCATGAGTCCATTGCTTGGGCTGCTGCTCAACTCAGGTGTATTTGCCATGGACAGCAAAGGCAGGAAGCCTCTCTGGCTGACTCCCATGAAGACTGGCTTATGGCATCTGTGCAGTCCAGCCAGCACCTGGCATGGAGTTTCACATCAGGGCAGAACTGATGCATCCTTCCTGCTGCTTCATGGAAGGTCTTGGATCTCAGGGTGGCGTACAGAGTCCCTCTCAGATCTTGGAGAAACTGAGTTTTCGTTCTGTGATCTAGGTAAGGTGCTAAGTATAAATCTTAAGAGTCCGGAGTAGTACAGCAGTGTGTCCTGCTATTGAAACTACAAAGACTGACATTCTAACAATCAAGTGCACTGAATTCTCCACCAGGAACATCTGAAACTGTAACGATTGGTAGGGTTAAGTCTCTGGCTAGTGATGACAGGTGTCTAAAATCATTTCAGGACAGCAGGAGAAAATAAACCATAGTGAAAAGGAATCTTCCAAGCTTGAATTCACAGGCAGTTCTCAGGCAGTGAGTCCCAGCTTTCCAGACCAACATCTGACTGACAAATCGTCTGACTGCTGCCTGACCTGCGATCAGTGGGCAGCTGCTTAGTTTTAGGTGATTCACAGTGTTGTAGCCTCAATTGGTTTAAGCAGGCTTAGGACTGGTAACCCATCATTTCTGCTTAACAAGCACTTAGCAAAGATGATTAATTAGATGCAGTGTTCTTAGACAGAATGTACTCATCCAAGAAAATCCTCAAATAAGTCTTAAATTTAATTTTTGCTACATTGCTTGCAAAATTTTGTCTCCTTATACACAAATCCTACAGATGCAGTCTGGCCTTTGTATATGTATGTTGACATCTTGTTCTGTGCACGGGTAGGTGTGGGCATGAATTACATGCAGCAGTGTTTCATTACAAGTCAATGTAAGTCTAAAAGTCTAACTAGATATAAAAAGCTTTGCAGAAAGTCTATTGCTTTGCATACCAGAGAGTACCGGGGCAAATCTATTGACAGATGATAACAGCAAAGCTTTGTGTTGAATTTTTATGCACTAAACTCTGATGTGACTTCATCTGAAGCCTTGTTATATTCATACAAGTATGAAAAAAAGTCAGACTGGGGACATCAAAGAGGTGTTTATGAATTAGAGGAATAAAGCACAAAGTGCTGATTCTTCCTTCTTTTTGAGGAAATCATCTAATGAAATTAACAGTAAGCAAATGCATGCTAAAGATAGCAAACACATTTGTTGGCACTACGAGCATCCTACTACAAGACGTGATAGAACAATGTATGATTGTAGGACTTTGGTAGCCATATCTTGTTCAATGGAGACATGAAGCTTTGTTGTGACCCCCTGTACAAAGGAGAAACTGCTTCCAACCTGCAAGGTGAGCTACACAAGCTCAGCTTTTAAAAGATTATGGCAACACAGATTGGTCTGGATTTTGGGATTGCATCTAGCCAAACGCTCACCAAGCAAACAGCTTTGAATTGCAGTGTCCTGCAATAGGCTTCAGTGGAATGACTCAAGCTTTAAGAAGTCAGAATGTAAGATGTCTTATTGGGACTTTTTCTGGGAAGAGGAGAAACTACTACCAGGAGCTAAAAAAACCCCCAGTATAAACAAGCTCTGCAAGTCCACGTGGGAAGTACACATGTGGTTGTGGTGAATGTTGTTACACTCATTCTTCAGTGAAGATTTACTGACTAATGAATTATTGCAGTCTAGTCTTCCAAGTGCAATACTAAATGAAGGAGCTAACAGATACCCATGTCCCCCTCTGAATTACCATTCATCAAAACCTAAAATGTGTGTCTTTTAGCAGCAAAAAATGAACATTTCTTCTATAGTACATATTCTTATCTCTTTTTCTGCTTGCTGTAGAGAGCTGCACATAGAGAACAGCACCTTGCCCACAGGATTTCACTAGCAAACATGGGGAGATATCCTCCCAGCAAGTTAGGCAACCAGTTTCAATGCACTTTGGGTACCATCTACACTCTGATTCAAATCATAAATGTGTACCAGACTCCAAGAAGGAGATTAATACCTATTTAAATTAGCAGGCTAGGTATGCTTTCTCTGGGAAATGGATGCATACTGAAAACTGCTGAACTGGGCATCTCTAAAAATCCCAGTCCCAGGCACTAAAACAAGATACTTTGACTATTCTGAAGGCAACAGTTACTGCTGAGAGGTTGTATTTGTGGGTTTGTTGTTTTTTTTTTGTTGTTTGTTTGTTTGTTTTTGTGGGAGGGGGTGTGTAGTGTCATGTCCCCTAAGACCAGAATGCAGTTTCTACATGTTTACTATATAGCAAGTGCTTCTGTAAGATGATTCTTGTTTACATTTCTCAGTTTGTTTCCTCTTTTGTTTGCTTGGTTTGTTCCCAAATGTTCCTCCTGTTAGTATGTCTTCTGGAACTGCCTGGCCTACTTTAGGCTAAAAATAGCCCTTGTTGCTACTGCTGTAGCTCCACGCAAGCCACACAACACCCACACTAGGAAAGAAAACCTTGTGCCCTGATGAGCTTCTCTGAAATGACAAGCAGGTCAGAAATCCAGACAACCAAAAAAGCAGGAGGAATAACAAATCCTGCTTTCCCACTCTGCTTCTACTAGGCGTGCTGATGGTGTGAAGTGGGGAAACATCAGGAAGGCGTATTAGTGTTTTGGTTTCGATTTTGCCTCCTCCACATCCGCTAAGGGCAGTACATACTATTTCTTTTATGCAGAGATGTGTAAGAAACAATGAAACTGCAGAGACGTAAAGCTGCAAAGATGACATTTTCTTGTTAATTTCCAAGCAGTTATTCTTCAAATTAGCTAAACCTGATTGATCTGTTGGGTAAATATTGGTCTTTGGGTATGATCAAACCAATGCTGCCCATGCTGTTGCACTTTCTAAATGACCAGGAATAGGTATACCTCTTTTCTGTAGCTGAGACATCTGTGTGCTGTGCTTGTGCTCCTATGTCGTACAAAGGAAAAGGGCTCTGGATACACAAATGTTTCCTTCTGCATTGCAGCAGACAAAACTTAACACTTCTCAGTCTTAAGTGCCTAACTTTACACTATTTGCCTGCTTCTGCCCCTCGGTCCATGTGGCCCATAATGCACGCTGGTGAGACACAGTCTGGGCTACCTGGTGATGTTGGGCAAGTCATGTCCCTGCTGAAGGCACCATGCTCCCCGTCTCTGAAATGAGTACCCAGAGGCACTTCTTCAGCTACCTTTGCAACTGAGGGATAAAACTCCATTGCTCCACAGACAAAAAATTGTATTTTCATGATTTACTCTAACTTGTGGGTGCTATATTTTTCTATTTTATAGCTAAGGCATATTGGCAAGAGCGCTTCACATTCTTGTGGGAAGCCAGGACTCTGTGCTCAGTTGCAGTAGAATAACTCCTGGGTCACGTTTTCTTTGCCCTGCCAATGAGGAATTTGGCTTGCAGAGAGCTGGAGCAATACCATTCTCACTTCTAATTAACCCAGCTGTGACTTGGGGACAACCTGGAGCCTAATGCAGAGTCAGCACAACCTGCTCACTCCCATGGTGTTCTCGATGATCTCTGAAGCATGCATCTGGGGAGTACTGGTCATGTTAGGCACCTCAGGTTTGGAGCAGCCCAGAAGCTGGGACCTCCACTACGCTGAGCAGCACTGTCCTCGGTGCCTGCATAGCAAGCCAGTAGCCACGGGAGAGAGACTCGACAGCGGCACCAGGGCCCGAACCAGAGCCTGGATGTCACCCTGCCGCCATGGCCGTGCCCTGTGCTCTAGCGTGTGAGGGGCCTCTAAGCCAGAGCAACCCCAGGATGCTCCGGGTTGTAGGGGCACCGGAGCTGTTTGGGATCATCCAGAGCTCATCTTTCTGTGTGGTCACGTTCCTCCCCGGGTTCATTCTTCTTCCCACCTCCCTTTTCTTGGGGGGGAGCAGTCCAGCCCGTGGTGACGCTAGAGGCGTATGCTCGCCCCAGCAGAGGCCGTAGGAAGGATAGCAGGAGAAAGCTGCTGAGCCGCCTCCAGTCTCTGCCTGGCAATTGCCGAATTACAGGAAGAATGTCCCGCAGCTGGAAAGGTGTCGTGGTGCTCCCCGCCCCCCGACAACAGGGGTGGTATCCGGGGAAGCCCCGAGGACCGGTATCCCTGGCACAAAGGAGGGCGCAGGGGCCCGGCGGGGAGAACCACGGCAGTGCCCAGGGGGGATCCCGCTCCCTCCCCTCCCCTTCTCCCGCCCCTGTCCCCTCCCTCCGCTCTGCAGCCGGGCGGGGGACTGGAAGCCGGGTCCGACGCACAGGGAGGCAGAGGAGGAGAGGCGGGAGATGGGGAAGGAGCTGTGCTGGTAGTTCTGCGGACGTCGTTAGGGAGAAAAAGGGGGCTGGAGGGGGCCAAAAGAACAGAGAAGAAGGAACTGGACGGGGAGGGCGTCCGCCGCCCCCTCTCCCCCTTTCCACCGCACTGAGGCGGGAGAGCGGACCACGATGCCTGGCCAGCGGGTGCTGCCCGCTCGCCCGCATGGAGACAGCCGCCCGTAGCGGGGCTGCCGCGCTGCACCGCGGGGTGAGCCGGATCGGGCGAGGGCGGGGGGACCAGCGGGGGCTGCCCGTGGGCGCGGCGCAGTGCGGGGGGCCTGGGCGGGCGGCGAGGAGCCGGGAGGAGCCCGCTGTCGGGAGGAACTCGGGGAGTCTGCCGGAGCTGGAAGGGCTGCTGCTCCGCTGCCCGCCCTTCTGCTAGCCGAGACGGGCTGGGGCGCTGGAGACGCTTGCGGGCTCGTCCTCTGCACCTTCAGCATCGCCGGGGGGTCTGGGAACGCCGCAGGGGCCGGGATGTCTTTCGGTGCGGTACCTGGCTTGGGAGAAGGCGCTGGGCCGCCCCTTCCACGCGAGAACCTTCTCGGCGCGGGGGAGACCCGGCGCCCCTGCTCCCTGCAAAGGCGGGCACCTCGCCGGGGCCTGAGCAAGGGGCCCGGGGCAGCGAACGTTTTCCCCAGCGCAGCGCGCTGCAGGGGTTCACCGCTGTACCGGCGACCCTGCCGGTGGTGGAACCGCGTGTGTAGTCTTAGCGCGGCGGGTGGGGATAGCGCGGTGCCACCCGTGAGCAGCCCACGGCGCGGAGAGACGGGTGTCGGTGCGGGAGGACACCGCGTGTCTGCCTCTGTGCTGCAGGTGTGCCCTCCCTCCCTCCCGGCCTCTCGCAGTGCTGCTGGGTGGCGAGTGGATCGGGAGAAGGCGGGGTGCTGCGGCGGGGTGTGATGGACTCCCTGCGTGCAGGGGAAAGATGCCTCGGAGCAGGGTTGTAAGAATGGCACTGTATGCAATGTTCGTGTGCGGTTTGAGTGCTCTTAGAGACCCCGAGTCGTTTTGCATCTCCAGAAAACCTAGATGGTACCAAAAGGAAAAAATGCAGGCATTTTGATCGGCTGTCACTTAATACTTGCAGGGAGCGAGATGAGATTTCATATCTGACATCTGAGGTTGTACAATATTTCTCTTGATCCTTCTGGGGTAGTATTTAAGAAATAAACTGGTAATGGTAACAATGCTTGTCCTGCATATTATGTGGTCTTTGTGGGGGCATGAAGACGCCCTGGGACAGAGCAGGGACTTAAGGTGACATCCTCCCAATTGCAAATGAGATGGGTATGGTGTGGAAAAGCAGAGGTCTGGCTCTGTGCTCAGATTTCTGCCTGTTTCTTCTTGGACACAAGGAAGGAGGTTTTTTTAAACGTTTGAGTTTTGTACGGTGGCTCTTGTGCTTGACTTGGGAAAAAAGGTTTCCAGAGGAGCTACTGCAGAAGGGGTTACCTCTGAGTCAGAGGCTACTCAGTGTGATTGCCCTCAGCAGTTGAATTGCAATATCCAGTTTAAACCAAGGACATTGCTTTGGACCTCCGTTTAATTTAAGTCGAATCACTATTCTCAGGTGTGATTTTTGGGGTTCTATTTCTGAAAATGAAGATGCATAAGACCTCAGGGGAAATCTTGCATTTGTCCATAGGTAAGTCTGAATGTACTGTACAGGAGGAGAACCTGCTTTTGAGGCTTGACACAGGGTAGGAAAAAGGACAAAATTTATATCAACTGAGGATCTGTCAACTACTGGGAGCTATGGCAACGGCCCCCTACTGCCTCCCCTTATTTATTGGTATTCCTTCTCCTCAACTTTCATTGCTAGCTCTTGTGTGGCATATTTCAGTGTTGGTTTATGCTCACTCTAGGTGGAAAACCAGTGATGCTGAGAAACATGCTAAACCCTTATGTATCAGCAAGGTTGATATGCAGGGCTATTTCTCCTTTTGTGGTAGATGTGAATATGTAGACTTACTGAGCAAAACTGTGCCACTTGTTAGTGCTTATTAACCTGTTTCAACACACACAATGGAGACCGTAGGATTTTTTGTTCCTTCCTTCTCCTCTCCCCCTCATAGTTGATGAGATGTCAGAGAAGAGAAGGAGCTCGTGGAGAGCCATATCCTGAATTTCTCAGCCATGCAAGCACATCTGCTCTGTTACAGAACATTTTGTTGGGACTGTAATTGGAGACTTATTTTGGCTGAATTGAGAGTGTTCAGTGGCAGCAGCAGATTTTTGAATTTGCAATTGCATCATAGCTTTTTTTTTTTTAATATTGTACCTTAATTTTCTTTGACAGCTTTGAGCATCATGAAAACTTTTTTTTTAATTTGTTCACTCTTCTCTGCTTCTTTGTTCAGTGGTAGGAATATGCATGCACTTTGTCATTTTGAGGGATTTTTTTAAATTGGAAAACATTTCCATAATTCTTATTTCATCAGTCAGTATGTCAAACCAATTAGCCTACTTTCTAATGTTCTCATTTTTCCTTTTAATATATTGTTTCTGCAGCCACAAATATAAATACCTTGCAGTTCTGTAGATAATACAAGAGCATGGAGGAATTGTGTTTTTCCAGTTGTGTTCAGGAGGACCTATTGTAAATATCACTTTGACTGGAATTTTATTGTGGAATTGTCACTTTTCATGGGACTAGGCCCTCAAGATATGCAAACTTCTCTAATGGGAAATGGCTACATATCGTCAATATGTGAAATAAACATTTTTTTAATTCACTAATGCTGGCCTATTTGTACTGGTTGAAGTTATGGTGAAAGACTAATTTTTAAGTTGGTGACTCTTCAAGAGTAAGATCTGTCTTCAAGGTTATTTCCCCCTGTCACTGTTTCCTGAAAAGAAAGCTAGAATAAAGGCAGATTCCGTAGTACCGATACCAGAAGCCTTTGTGAGCCTCTCTCTTCTCTCTCAACTGGTGTATGCCGAACAAATCTGTGATACATGGCCAGTTCTCCATGAGTTGCCACACAAGGGTGCTAAAATGAGCTGTGTCACCTCCTTCTGAGAGTCTGAAATCAAAGTGGTTATTTCTTAGGAAGTGAGGGCACCCCTGCTTAAGTCTTGAAGCCTTTGCTGGCTTTTTAGTACATTCTTTCCTAGGTGGGATGTCCATGTTCAGTTTTGTTTTGTCAGCTTGGTTGACAGCTGGGAGGTTAGTTCTTCAGAACTTGCTGCATAGTGTCTGCTGTGGCTCTAACTGGGGGTCTGAGGTGCTCTGTGCTTTGAATTTTCCACCTCTAGAGGAAATCCATGTTCTTCAGATAGCCTGGCTTGATGTTACATTGAGTTCTCCCTTTTAGGAAAAACTGCTGCATTGGTAGCCTGTACACTGTCAGAATAACACTGAACAGCTGCCTGTCTGTGTTGTCAACAGTCAGATCTCCTAATATGCAGTAACTGCCTGAATCACCTGTAACAGTGATGGGGGCAATTCCACACATTTGTAGCGAATGGAAGGTATTGTCATTCCTGTGTAACCTTATCTAGGTGTTCCTGCTCTGGCAGGGGGATTGGACTAGATGATCTTTTGAGGTCCCTTCCAATCTCTAACATACTGTGATACTGTGATACTGTGATATAGTAATCTTTGCTGTGCTACTTTTTTTTTTTTTTTCTAATGTGCAAATGGATCACAGTTTGTCCATCCTGTTGAAATACATTATAGCTTTCCTCGCCCAAGCGGGTTTTGATGTTTTATTTGAAAATGGTCAAACTTTGCTGTTGCGGGGCACAGGACATCCCATGACAGTGTCTGGTGTGTCTTGTGCAGCTGCTGTCTTTTCTGATTGCAGTGATAATCATACAGGAGTGACTGAGGGTGTAATTAGTCGGAAAGGGATCGCCAGAGATGGAGAAGTAGGGACAAAATGGGCTCATATGTATGAGACAGTGATTTGATCTGTTTTTCTGAAGGATTCATGCTGCATTATTCTTGTAACCAGAATGGGAATTAGCTTCAAGGCATATTCACGTGCACATACGTGCTGATCATTGATTTACCATGCCCTCTACGGATCAGAGGACCAGCATAAATGTAAAGGCATGCTTCTATCAAACAGAGGTTTAAAGTTACCCACAGGCTTGGATATCAGTTGCATTTGGAGAAAGGTTTCTGCTTTTCTTGTTTTAAAGGTGTTTTATTCATGACTATGTATGGTAGTTACATTGCCACACAACCTCTACGCCTTTAAGCTGTTTGTTTAAATAGCCTTGACAATGCACCCCTCCTCTGACTTTTATTTTCTGTTTGTTGAGCTCTAGCAAGTGGAGGGCTGATCCTTTGATCAGAAAAGTTATCCCATGGAGGAGCAACATTTAGTGTTAATGGCTCTCACTACTGATGACGGAGAGGGTTTGTAGAATTCATGGCAAGTGTCTGTGAGACACTGACTCTTTTAATGGCTATAAGTCCACTCTTACAACCTCAGAAGGCAGAACTGATTTTAAAATGGAAGTTGAAACTCTGCAGAATTGCAAAACCAAGCCTCATTCCTAAGCCTTTGTGAGGACAAATGCTGTATAAGCCATAGAATCATAGAACAGCTAGGGTTGGAAAGGACCTTAAGATCATCTAGTTCCAATCCCCCTGCCATGGAGGGTTTCAAGAAACGTGTCTGAATCTCATGCCTGGTGTCCCTGGCATAGTCTCATCTGAGTGGATCAGAATGCCTGCTTAGAGTTTGTCAAAGCTAATGGGTTTCAAGAGAAGCTGAGAGTTGGGCCCTCTGAGAAGAGCTGCCCTCTTCAGTGACTCAAATGGAAGCATGAATTTCAGCATGAATTTTCATAGATATTCCTTGTGCTGCTTTTTACTGCTTTGCTGAGACACCAGTGAAGTCAGAATTCTGCTTCACCATTCGTCAGTTTAAGTCAATCAGGAGGAGAGGAGGAGGAGAACAAAATCCAACTTTGATGGAAACGCACATACTGCAAAAGGCAATTGTATTGCATTTATATCCTGCTGTGTGCTTTTGTCACCTATGCTTGTAAAATACTCACTGACAACAAAACGAAGTACATTTAATTTCCACATACACAATAATTTATTGCATTTGCTGAGTAATTACAGGTAGCTCCTATATGGTAACTGATTTTTCTACTTATTCCAGCCCCTCTTCCATTCCTTGTCCATGGAGGGGTGTGCTTAATAATGCATGAACTGAAGATAAACTCAGTTTGTATTAGCTATTT